AAAAAAAAAAAAAAAAAAAAAAAAAAAAAAAATAGACAAAGAACCAGCGACCATTTAATGTCCAGTCTATCCTGTCTTTGGTGTCAGTGGTGATATACATCAATTAATATCGCTAGCAATTCGAGGGATTACCGATTCGCTTACCGTCGATCTCGCGAAAAACGGGGGCGCGAGACTTAATGCCGATCGGCCAGATCACGAATGTAACTCACGTGTTTATTATTTATTCGCGAGCCGTCCCCCGGCCGGTGATTATGTTTCGTTCATGCCTGCGCATACACGCCGGGCGCATTAATCGCTCCAGACTGCAGATTTGCTAAGTACCAGCGGTTGGTTAAACTCGCGGCGAGAGCTTCGGAAGCTAAGAGGTTGGCCGTGATCCCGCGGCCAACCGCGATGGTTAACCTTCCCCCGCTCGTCTAGTCTGAGGCGGTTGTGTGAAAATCTCTCTCTAGTATCAGAATGCGAGATAATTAGTTACAACCGTATCAACCTGTGTTTCTAATCGATTCGATCAAGAGTGTTGCACGGTGCTCTTAGTTTCCTAATTATCGTTTGGCAATGTTAAGATGTTGATGCACAGCGTCGGTGAGAGATGAGATTAATTCTCGTTCACATTGTTGAGTTATACGTACACTTTCGTTCAAGAGTTTGTACCAAAGAAAGGATGAGAACCACTTGCTTAAATGTAAATATTTTATTTATGATATTAATTCAAGCATTGAAGATGATTGTAGATATTATTGTCGTTCAATATGTTCCATCACTGAAACTCTAATGGTTTCACAATCCTTCACAATCCTCGCGAATATTATAATGTTGCGGAACAAGTATTCTTTATCAGATTCTTTTACGTAAAAGTAGAATGTGCTCCACAGTGGCTCGTGGATTCCACGATTTCATTCGCGGCATCTCCTGCGCAATTATTACCATTTGACATGCATATAATTAATAACTGCATTTTATTATAATTATTATTGGATTGTGAATTTTTATGAATTCGTGGAAATCTTGAAGGTACAAAAATCTACACAATGCAAATATTGAAGTTAGTTAGTCATTACAACGTTAATAATATATTCATTACACGAAATAAAATGTTTTTTCTTTTATTTTATTACGTTCGCAGAAACATGAAAATACACAAGGACTCGCAATTTAAATGTATAACAAACTAAATATATAATAAATTAAATACACACATATAATTAAGAATCATGTAGCAGTAAATACTATGAATTATTATTAGCTGCGATTATTAGTTAGCGATTGGTCATGTTTTTAAATCCTTTGACGTTCTTTTAAACAAATTCAGACAAAGCTTGAACGTACAATGTACCGAATATCACAACATCTTTCATTTCAAGAAGATATTAGCTTACACCTCTTCATATGCTAAAATCAACATGTTGCAATGTACACGAGTCAATGATAAACTTCGGAAATTCTTTCAAACGTTTTCGCCAGTCTTTGTCGAGTCTGTTCCCAAGGTGTACGTAGGGAAAACTTTCATCACTGTCTCCTCGAGAAATATTATCAGAAACTTATTCAAAGTAGTCATTGTGTATACATTGAGCAGGCGGGGCTCGCGTAAACGAGTTGTTTCATCCGGGCGCCGATGGGAAAACGCGAGGGCGAGTTCTTAACAAGTCGCAGAAACAAGAAGCCTTTCTGGCCGCGGTAAAAAAGTTCTCGCCGACGAGAAACTCTGGTAAATCTGCAACTGGTGGGAACCGGAGAGATCCGATCCCGTCCTTCGCGGGAAAACCGCTTTTTCCAAAATTTTCTAATGCAACGTTCGCTGATCCGCGGATCATCCTCGCCAGATAGCTATATCGCTATTGACAATGAGGCACTTTTCAGCTTTTGATAGCCTCCATGTCTCGAAGGAATTGTGATTCAGTTGAGAATATCTCGATCGTGAGGCAATAGGATATTGTTGATTTTAATTGGAATTTTTTAATCGAAACTGTCTCTTTTTCTCGTTGATAGCAATATTAATGGAATATTTAATGGAATACTTGTTTTAAAAGTGGAATTCATCGCGCCTATTTCAATCCTTTGCATTCGAATCTTCTACGGAAATTCTCTGAAAGAAAGTCTCTTACGTCTGAAAGTGAAATCCAACTTCTTCTCAGTCAAATTTCTTAAGAAATTTTGAGAGAGCTCCTTACATCTAATAGCCAGATCTAGCACAGTGCAGCTTTTCTAAAAAATTTAAAAAATGTTCGCCCGCCATTCAATTCTCACAAACTCAGTTTTCCTT